TGTAAAAGATATAAAGTAATGAGGTTACCATTCTTTTAAGAAATACACCTTTAAGTTCTCAATTAGCTCTTAGTTCAGAAATGAAGCTTTGATTTCCTGCATAAATTCCAAAAGCATACTACTGTTGGAGACAATCCTTCACGGTGGAGGCTTTAACTGTAACCTTTGTATTAATCCAAGGTAGAAATCTTTCACCTGCCCCAGGACACAACAGAATTTACCAGCACTTTGACTACTTGTGCTCCCCCCCGTTGCCACATACCAGTCATTTAATGTGGCTTAGCATTTCTGTAACTGCAGTACAAGGTGCAGATACCTTGTACGCTAATCTTTAAAAAGGAAAACACCCCACCCTTTTTGGTGGCAATAAGAGAAGATAACGGGTCGCTACGTATTCTCTAAGGTTGCTACAAATTCAGTAACTTCGAAAACCCGGTAGTTATCTATTTTGGTCTTACAGAAAAGCTTCAAATTAAAAACCATTAAGCTATGTATAGACCGTAGCTCATAAAATTTGGAGTGTTTTCCAAAAACGATATAGACAAAGTACTTGAGAAGTTCCAAGCAGTCTCTGTCATCACATTAAGGAAATACCATGATTGGCACGTTGTACTTAAAAAAAAAAAAAACACCAACCTTTTCTGGGCTTTTGTTAAATAACATAATGATCAGAGTAATCCAGCTTCTCTTTATGTGGACGGGCTGGCATTTTGGACATGATTATTATATATCTTCATCACAGGAAGCTTGGTGCCTGCTTGAAATTACTAATTCAGCTGCTAATGGCTACGGGCATATACCTAGATTGACACGAGCCATGAAAAGCTTTCTTTAGAGACAAGGAACATTCCACACTGGCCTCAATTCTATTTAAAAAATTGCACAGGATTTTAAGTGACAGTTCAACCACCAGATCTCTTTCCATGCTACCAGTTAAGTGGATAAACAATACGATAATAACTGTTCCACTCTGACACATTGGAAATATCACCTTGAGATGCGGAGTTTTTCCAGCAGCAAAAGCTATTTTCACTTAAATTAAATCATTTCAGTATCAAGGGTAGCCACCAGATAGCATGCTATTAGGAGGATTTTTTTTTTTTATTAAAAGCCCCCTGAACATAAGACTAGCTCATTTAGGTACATTCTGCCCTTAAAAGAATAAAAGAACGCTGTTTGTGTCATGGCATTTGCCTCCAATTTTGTAAATAGATTGTACTTTATAAAGGACCCCTGATGATCTTGCCAACTCAGCCAGTTCCTGTTTGATAAAACTAATAAAGTTATTATTCTAGAGCTTTGACTACATTAATGTCACTTGTAAATACTTCTCGGTACCAGTGCTGCTCCTGTAATGACATTAACTAGAAAAGCCCAGTGAAAGCAGTAATAGCTAAATGAAAGTGCAGCTTTTCTTAGTAGCAGGTGAAGCAGCTCTTTGCTCAGCATTTAAAATTATTTAAGCTGGTACAAGAAAACAGCGTACCAAACTAATCCCTTTCTTGCCATGGTCACTGCCAGCGTTCACCTGCCTCTGTTTAATTTATTTCCCTTACATACACTGCACAAGCCACAGCAGCCAGCCACCTGCCCAGTCCCTCCCTGTCTGAAAGCAGATATGATGCACAGATACATTTCTGATATAAAAAATATTTACTGCATTCAACACGTACAGTAACCCCACTCTGGGCCTCAGCATTACCAGTTCAGTACATCTGTAATGCATTTCCCTCCCTCACACCATCCTTTTCTTTTGGAGAGGGGAAAAAAAAAAAAAGACAATAAAATTCTATTAGCCATTATACTTTATGCAAACGTCTCTTGTACTAAATTCATGATGTTCTCAAAGAAAATATACCTTCTAATTCTGGTAAAACTGCGTGGCTGCTTTTTGTTGCTCTTAATACAGTAAATACTACTATGCAATTAGACTGTCGTAGACACTGCCCAGTGTCTATTTTGCACTCTTAAAGAATTAACAGCAAGAAAGTTTAACAGAGCAATGAGAAATTCTCACAGTGAGAAATAAAGCGCTCCGCCAGACAGGAGGCACATGCACCAAGTCCAACCTTACCACGTAGACTGTACGACTATCCACGTCCTTCGGTTGCTCACCCAGCGGCTGGCGTCTTCTGATTCTAGTTCCTTCTAAATCCAACTGCAAGTAACAAGAAAGGGACAAGCATTTTCTGTAAGACTATTGCCTGCTTCAGTTCCATGATCAATATTTCTCCATCATCAGCAAATAGAAAAGAGTGAAATATCAAATACCTCTACAACAGACGAACTTTTAACGGCTCGAGCTATCAATTTTCCATCAGTAGTCAATTTTTTCATTTTGTTGAAAGAAACAAGCAGCGATATGTCAACATCTAGGGATAAAAAAGATGCAAATGATGAAATCAGGGCAATCTAGAAAGCATCAGTTGCGTGTTTTAGTCTGACATGAAGACTCCGCTCGTATTCTTGTAAAACAATCCACAAGTCCTAAGTGCAGTATGTAACCATGCTGCCAAGGATTTACAGAAAATTTTTACCATCAAAATTAAAGTTTCAGGTAAACCTATATTTAATTTTCTTTTGTGCTAACATTTATCAAAGGAATTTCATTCTTTTACCTCCCCACTGATAACTATTGTCTTGGAAAAGAAAGGAAGAAAACCCCCTTTCTGACGTAGTTTTACAATACAAAAACAATTTGCATTGAAAACAAGCCTCTCCTTCAAGTACTCAATTAAGTGCTTAACCCAGTCTTCCCAACACAAAAGAGCCCCCACTTGCACTTCACTTGCAATGAGTCATGCTGCTAAAACCTTGACAGAAAATTATGTAGTATTAAGTCTTAATAAAAAAGTTAAAGACATCCAAGCTCTAATATCTCAAGAAACACAGGGTAAGTTTTATTCCTCTGAAGGCCCTTTTTTTAAAGGCTGTCAATACAATTAAGAATTACACCACGCAGTTAGGAGCCTATGCTTTTCACATAATGCAAGTGGACTAATGATTTACATTTCAGGTAAATACGAACTCCTTGAGAAAACAAAAATAAGTAAACTCTTCTGGAAACTACTTTTTTTGTTTTGTTTTGATGGAAAACTACCACCTCTCTTTACAGAGTGCTTCTAGTCCATCCTAAACACAGTTAACTGGACAATTATACTGGCAGACCATATTTACCACACATGTACTGGTTTTTAAAGCAAACGCATCCTAGTCACTGCAGCTAATGTGTAAATTAATTTCTTCAGAAACCGACAAATAGTTTCAGAACCAAGCTCAACTTCCTACACTGTAGTCAAATCAAGCATGTCTAAAATTAGCTCAAGAGACCCACAGTAGCCCTGCATGCTAACACACAATTTCTCACATATCAAACTTGTGCAGAAAACACACACAAAAAACCTGTATCTAACTACAAACCCATGTGATGCTAATTTCTGTATATATCTACCCTACAAGTCAAGTACTGTACCCGCAAGAGCAAAATGACCTTTGTTTTGTTTGCTTATTCTTAAAATTATACCAAGTTAAAAAAAGAAAATCAGGTTTCCCAAACAGTCATTCATAGCCTGGCAGATGCCTAACTTCTTATGGCTGGTAGTAAGGGAAAGGAAAAGAGAAACACTGAAGACAATTTGTTAAACTAGTACCAAGCTCCATCTCCTGAGCTGGTAACACTGGTTTCCAGCATGAAACGACAGTCCTCCCCAGATTTGTTAAACTAGTACCAAGCTCCATCTCCTGAGGTGGTAACCCTAACACTGGTTTCCAGCATGAAACAACAGTCCTCCCCAGGAGCAGACACGCTCCTCAAAATACCTTGTAACCTTCAGCAGCATTACAGCGAAGAAGAAAGTTAAACATATCTGTTTATTCAAGTATACAGAGTAAAAACTTACAGCCATCTCTGGATTTTTCTATTTGTTCTCGGAGAAATCTATCTTTGTGGAGATTAACATCGCCAAACCAGAAATCCACTTGTTTTGCTATATCTGCCAGCACCTGTTTAACCCTCGACCTCTTCTTTTTCTCTCTCTCCTTTTTCTGTTCAGTGCTTTCTTCTTCCATGGCTTTGTCTCTTGCAGTTTCAGTCTCCATTCCTGTCATTCTGTCAGATGGAAGTTAAATATAACCTTAGAGAAAAATAAAAATATTCTTATTTCAAGGAGTAAACATACTTGGTTAACCTTACGTTAAAAACTTCACGCACCCCCTGTGAGACTTAGTGCCATTCATTATTTGCAGTATAGAAAAATTACAAGGCATAGAGAAGATGAGGAAAATTAGGTCGGGCGATAACCATGCGGTGAAGGCTAAGCTGGAACTCATGTCTCATGGCACCCAGTACTGCCCTTTAGCCACAGAGATTCAGCAGATGCGAGTTGGTACCAAACTGCAGGCTTTTAATTTAGAATTTTTACTGTTGTGTTGATCCAGAATGCCTTGCGAACAGCCTGCCCTCCCTGCTAGACTTGTAACAGCAGCTTTTGCATTTTCAGCAGCAGTCATGGGATTCACAGTTCCAACTGCTTTCATAAGTATCAGACAAGCAGTGCTGTTAAATATTTATATATAAAAGCGAATTCTTTAAAGCACTTGTGCAGGTCACCAAGTAGGTTTTAATAATACATAACTTCCCCGTTACCAGAAAAGCAAGCTACTTGCCAAAGAGAACCTACAAAAGCTAAATCTAAAAAGCAGACAATTTCCCTCCCAATAAACACATTTTAATCAGACTTGAAAAGAAGACAGAAATATTTTCTTCTCCACTCCCCATATCTCCCAGTACAAACCATTAGAAAGAACACACAAAAATCCCAGCGTGCTATACACTTCAGAAATTACCCTTTTATGCAGCAGGCAAAGCAGGAAAGAAAGAATGTAGATTACATACTTTTGAAAAGGGTGGCCAAAAGACCAGACACATATCATAAATCCAGTGGTTGCAAACAGGTTATGCCGAGGCACATACAGCAGCTGAAGAGCTCGCTGCAAAAACTGATGGTACGACCTCCAACTGAGAGCAATCTATTAATCCTTATAAATAAATGCAATGTAAAGGTATACCTAAATACCTAGTTAATATTTGTGGCAGGTCTGGTAATAGTAAGGTTTGTTCTTACAAATTGTCTTTGTTATGTCAAAAATGCAAACCGCTCTGTCAAGTGCCAAATCTTCCAATCCCACCTTTGAACACATTCTAACACATTCTTACTTGCACGCCCATGGTGCTACACTTAGACATTTTTCCTTTCTTTGGTTAGGGCTCTTTCATCAACCGTCACTGATTTTAATGGCAGAACCTCAGAATCGGGCCCCGAGAAATTAGGGACTAGAGGGAAGTGACTTGAATGTACAGATTTACCTTGAAAAATATAAAACATTTTTAATGCATGCATTTATCTTTTTCATTTGCATTTCAATTTGCAGTAGCTGGTCAGTCCTCCTTGAAAACTGCCAGTCACCACAAATACAGGAGCAAACAAAAGCGATACTGCCAAAAGCAGACAGCTTTCTGAAAATGAAATTAACACAAAAATTCAAGTAATTAATGTCGCAATCACCATACGAAAGGCTTCTCAGCTCTCTGCCAAGGCAACAAGAGCAGGAAACATGAGCACAGCCATCAGAGAGGAAGCCCACCTCTACAACAGGATGACAAAAATGGAAATGGTCTTCAAATTATTGTGCAAATCAGGCTTCCTTAGCCGGATATCAGTTTCTCTCCCTGCTGCGAGCTGACCACTCAAGATAGTGAAAGGTCAGCAATTACCTTGAAAAGATAAGCCAGGTAAAACTCCCAACCCAAAGCAGAAGTTCAAGCTCCATTCAAGCCCTTCAGCGAGATATTTATGTTAATAATCAGCAGAACAATATACTGCTTAGCTGAGGGCTACAGCGAGCTGCACCATTAAAGGTAAAGCAGCATTATGGGATACTTTTAGTGGCTGAGCAGTATTAAATGACCCCACCGACATATAATTAATGCAGCTTATGCACTGCAAAGCTTGATTTTAAGAAGCCCTGCAAGTGTTGTACGCGTTTTGAGTCACTCAGCCTTGGGACTTCCTTCCCAGGAAAGAGGTTCTCATTCAAGCTTAAAGAAAACCAGCTGCAAGCTGTATTCTGGGCTTCCCCACACACTTTGAACTACTTGCTTTAGAAATGAAGCTTTGAGAAAATGGCTTTGGAGGAGCACAGAGTCAAAGCAAATGTCAGCTATGAATCTATAATCAGAATCTGTATACAACCTTACAGTGCGTAGTGAAGCACTCATACCTGAGACACCAAGAGATTAAAACTCAGGATTTGAGAAAATACTATTTATAAGTAAGCATGTCAATAACTCATCGCACTCGCTTTTTTTGTTGGCATTCTCTTCATTTGCAGTTACTTTAAACCTCAACTCATCAAGGAAAGCTGCAATGCCAAGGTATAAGATCATCCATTTTTGACTTGCCAACTCTTACTCTGACAGAACCATTCTGATAAACAATTAAAATCATCAGAAAGCAAAAGCAAGGTCAAAACAAAACAGCTGCCAGCCCTTAGCTTTCCTCAAATGAAATAAAAGAACTGTGCCTCTATGTGTGAGAGTGAAACCAGGAAAAGAAGGGACAATTAAGGAGGGTGAGTGAACTCTAAAAAAGCAAAGATACCGTAAATCAAAAAATACAGGTCCACACAGATCTGTAGTAACTTATTTATACTCTTTAAAAACACTGAAGGTAACCTGTACACAGCCAAGATCCAAACCCAATTCTATTGTTATAAAGATCTAGGAAAACATAGTAAAACTTAAACTGTTATCCAGGGTCTGGAAGAAAGAGGGTTCGAGTTATAAAACATCCTTTATTCGTTTATATTAAGCATTAATGCAAACGCTTGCTTGCTTTGGGCACTTAAAACCGCAAAATGGGGCAAGGAGGGCAGAGAGAAAGAATCATTCGAAATACTTTCTACACTATGAAATTGTTTCCATATAGTCAGTGGCAACACTTCCTCTTCTGGACATTTACTGCAAAATACATGTAAATAATCAGCAAACCTGAAGCTATTTTCAAAGACACATTCTCTATTCCACCTTGGGTATTCTTACTCTAATATGCACACAGGCAGAGCTGCAGCAGTTTAAGTTCCTGTCCTGCCTTGTAACTTCACTCTATGGAAACTGAGTTAAAAAGGACAAAAATTATTGCACGGGGACCAGCACAATTTTCTTCGTAACCTAAAACCAGGGAGCCTCCTGCTTTTTCCCCATTTTAAGCAATGAAACCAATACTTCATTTTGAACAGACATTTAAGGTGTTCAAGAGACATCATGAAACCAACGTGCTCACGAAGAGAAAAAAGGCTTTGCTTCCACATGACAGCAGTGGGTGTTTAAGGCTGTTTCCAGGCACAGGCAGACCCCACTGTGTCAGTCCTGGCGTGGTGACCCTTTCTTCTGCCATTACAAGCAGCAGAAAGTGGTTTTTTTAATAAAATGCAGGCCTGGAGCACAAGACTACGATTGGATGGATTCAGCTGTATGCACCAACAGTTCACCGACACCAAAAGGGCAGCCCAGCTCCCTCGTCTGCCTTGCAACACTGCCCTCCCTCAAAGCATCTCACTCTCTGGTAAGGCAGTTCAGCTCCATAACCTGAGAAATAAGTTGCTATTTTCTGGCCCTTCCCCTGCTGGATGAGTGGGTTAAACCAACTCGTTAAGGAGCTGAATAAGCAGCAGAGCTGATGAAGGGAAGCAGCAGGAACAAGCACTTGGGAGCAGGACAGAGGCGAGTACAGAAGCCAGACGTACTGCTGCCCTGTTAGCAGCTGCAGACAGACTGGCCCAGAAGCACCACACAACTGTAGGAGAACCTCATCTTCTTTACCCTTCAAACAAAGGGAAAACGCACAACGTGAAATAGATTTTTCTAGCCCCAACTTCATCTTTGCCAGCGCGGCAACTGGTTGAATCCCAATTCCCCAGAAGGATGACCACCATGTTTTCGGCAGTTGCACAGGTACTGACCACTGCAGGTTTCACCACTGCTACTGCGATTGCTCACGGACCTTGTATGCATGAAAAAATAGGAAAGCAAGCCCAAAGTCAGCCTCGCGTCCCCCGAACCGCGCCCCCCCCTTAACGTGGGACCCTTTCCTCCCGGTGTCAGGTCTTG